GGGACTTAGCTCAGTGGCAGATTGTAACCCAGTATGCACAAGGCACTGGGCTCCAACCTAGCATCCAAAGGGAGTGGAGTGGGGGTGGCTACTAAACTTATTTTGCTAAATAACTTGACCCCAAAAAGACATTTTGTGTGTAAAGCTGGGAATGGAACCTAGAGCATAACAGATAAACTATGTCACTGGGCCTCATTCTAGCTCTACACTGCAACTACAGCCTACACACTGACGACACAACCAAACCCAAGAGACTAAGTAAGTGTAGCTCAGCAACACAGCATAAACCCAGCACGACAGTCCTTCTAACTCCTTCACAGAAATTCACTATCCTCTTTTTAAAAATCTTAACATTTATTTCATTTTTTCCCCGCTGTGTACATGCCTGGTATCCACTGAGACCAAAAGGTATTAATTAGACAGTTATAAGCTGCCATGTGTGCACTGGGAATTAAACCTGAATCCTTTACCAAGAGTGCTCTTAAGTGCTGAGCCATCTCTTCAACCACATACTACTATCTTAAGCAATTCTTAATTTACCTTTTATTTGTATGTATATGGGTGTTTTGCCTGCACATGTATCTGTGCACCACATAGTGCTCACAGAAGCCAGAAGAAGGCATCACATCTCCTAGAAAGGGAGTTACAGTTGTAAGGGCACCATGTGGGTGCTGGAAGTACTCTGCAAGTGCAGCAAGTATTAACTGTTGACCTATTATTTCTCCAGCCCCTGTCATTTTCAAGTCTGTCAAAACAGGAAGGGGTGAGAGCTAACTCCTGTCATGGAGACAGACCACAGAAATCAGGAGGTTGGGAACTTCAAGTTCTGAATACTTGGGTTCACTTGAGCACTTACTAGCTGTGTGCTATGGGCATGGGAGCATTGCAATGAACCTGTGAGGCACACAGTAGGAGCTTTTTCTTTATTCCTACTGTACTACCATTCTGGACCAGAATGGGTCTAGAGCTGTTGCTTGGAAATCAACACAATATTCTTCAAAAAACAAACAAAACCAATATGAGGGGCTGCAGAGATGGCTCAGCAGCTAAGAGCATTGGCTGCTCTTCCGGAGGACCCAGGTTCACAGCAGCTCACAACTGTGACTTATCTACAGTTCCAGGGGATCTGACACCCTCACACAGGCATACATGTAGGCAAACCACTAATGCACATACACACACAGAAATATGGCTGCTCTTCTACATGGCCCTGGTTCAATCCCCACCACTCACTTGGTAGTCCACAATTCCTTGGGATCTGCACACATATATACATACATGCTATTACACATACATGGAAAAAATGTTGAATGTTTAAAAAAAACATAGTAACCCACATAGTGATTACTACCACCTTGGATTTACCCCAGATAAAGTAAAATAATATAAAGAACTGTGAGAATTCTTACACCCCTCTATCTGCACCAGCAAATAATGAAGCCAGGATACGGACTTGGATCTGCCTCCAAAAGCTCGATCCTGCAGTGACCATCCTTGCCTTAACGTAGCTTTAATTTTTGCTTTGTATTTTTGATCTCACTATATAGCTCAGGTTGGCCTCTTAATGGAGTGATCCTCCTGCCTCAGTACTTCAAGTGATGAGATTACAAGTATAAGCCACCAGACCCAGCCTTACCCATCTTTAAATTAAACCCAGATTCCCAAGAAACTAAGCAGCATCACCTAAAATGAAAACAGCCACAGTACTCAACCCCAGGATTGCTACAGCCATTAACTGATCTGAGTACTAAGCTGAACCCAGGGTACCCCACCCAATATGGGTCAACCTCCTGTCTAATGGGTTCTTCACAAACCTTACCTGTTTGTAGAGCCACAGAAGGGTGCAGACAACTGTGATATCAGCCAGTGTCACTCGCTCACCCACCAAAAAAGTCCTTGTCTTCAAATGAGCGTCCAGCAGCCCCAGGATTCGCCTCACCTCCTCTTTTGCATTTTCAGTGGCCTGTTGTTTTGAATTCTCCAAGTTTAGTGGGTACCAAGTCCCTTTCCTTGTGCCCCTCCCCACTAACAGAACTAAAGAACCATTTAATCAGCATTGGCTCAAACCCCACCCCGGCTCTATCATTAGAATCTAGGATCATTTAAAATGTATTAGGATTAAAACACTCAGGTTAAATTTCTTTATGGTCAACACACTTTATTTCCCACTATACTGATGGTAATCACTCACTGCCATACATCCCTGGCATCTTTTCCTCCATCTATTTATTTCTTATTCTCAAAATACAGGAGCTGACCCCATCTCTGCCCCTGGCTCCTCCCCAAGTTCCAAAGCATACCTGTTTGTTGTGGTGCATGATGCCCAAAGTGGGGAATACCCAGGTGCTGGCTGGAGGAACGATGTCACTGTCAGCAAAGCTCACCCACTGTACCACCTGAGCTGCTGCCTCTGGAGTACTTCCACGAAGATCCTCGTTGCTTACTGCAAAGGCAGACCAGAAAGCTTAGAACCTAAGGACCATGCCCAACCCAACCCAGGTCCACTGCAGTCACTCCCAGCCACTTCTACAGCCTCATCCCCAGACCCTCAATCCCGTGTCCCCACAAATTACCGTAATAGGCGATGGCATTGCTCTCAAACACACAGAATCCATCATCACCCTCAAATGCTGGGACCTGGGAACAAAGTAGTGAAGAGACAAGACATGGGAATTTCTCACTAGCCAATTCTTGGGGTCGAACTGTTGAGTAAAAATATTAAGAGACAACTCTTGCTATGCAAGCTCGAGACACTATCTGAGACTCAAATGAAAAACACTGACTAATCCTTGTAATCTGCATCTAGTGCCTGGACTAAGATTTCAAACACGGCTGAAATGTAAATTATGGCCTCATACCCTTATTCCTAGCATTCTCTGAATCTGAAACCAGACAGGACAAGTGAGATCCTATCTCAAAATAAGTAATATATTCAGATATGGATGTCCTACATCTACAGCCCTACTACCCAAAGCATTAGGTACAACCTACAGACAGCATCCACCCTCCTCCATAGTCAGCTTTGGATATTTAGCTCTACTCAACCCCTTTGGGATAAGAATCCAACTCACAAGAAACCTTGTATGTATGTACTGGCCAAAATACATTTCATCCCACATACATGAAGCAGGTCTGTAACTCAGAGTCAACCAACAAGGCTGAAATTTCCTTTGTAGACAGGCTCTTTCTTAGATTAAGTAAGCTGATATCTCACACAATCCTCCTGCCTCAGTCTCCAGAACGCTGGGATTACCAGAAGGCTTCAAAATGATTTTATTTTTCCTTCTAGGTGTTTGAACAGTCAAACTCAGGGCCTTGCATCCCGGACCCCATGAAATCTTTAAAAAAAAGTCACTTCAATGTTAAAGAATGTAACGTGGAGGCCATGTCCAGAATAATAGAATTCTAGGGCTTTCTGGGGTCCCTGCTTCCCTACTCACCTTGCCAGCAGGAAATTTTCTGAGAAACTCAGGGGTGCGGTTGGTTTGGCCAAAGTGGAAGTGGGGTGGTGCGGAGAGCACGCGGACCTGAGCCCCACTGTACTGAGCAGCGATGAGGGCCTTGAAGGCTCTCCAGTTTTCAGGATATGTGTACAGGGTCTGTGAGAGGAAGCGTGGGAAACGGGCATGAGTAAAGAACCCTGAAAGCGACTCCCCACACTTCCACACAATTCCAGCGTGTTCGATTCATTCCACTCCTTCTGGTAAGCCAAATTAACTGAGTATGCCCTATGTAACCAGAGTCCTCTGAAATACCGAGAACAGAACTACGTACCAGCTGCTAAATAAAGCTTGCCGACAGATGTGACCTCCCATAAGGACATCTCTAGCAGCTTTCTTCCCTTCAAAACTTCGTGGCCCCACCAGTCTGCCATCTGCCCAAATACACAACACACCCATGCCTCCCAGAACCCTTGTTTCATTCATTCGTGGTGACCCAGTGTGTGACCACAGCCGAGCTGGTAGCGCTTCAAAAGTACACACATCGACCAATAGATTTCAAAGTTCCCCTCAAAATAGCCACGTTGACTTCTAATGGCATGCTCTGCTCACCAACTCCTGCCTTCCTCGGCGCGCACTAACATCCCTCTGGTCCTGTCCTTCGGTGTGTTCCCAGTAGTCTCCCTATGGACACCTGGCCAGTGGGATCCGAATGGTCTGCCTTCGCTGTCCCTTGTTTCCCTGGCTCCCAAACCTCCCCGAAAAACAACTCTAACTGTGCCAGTCCCTACTGCCCACAAAGACCCTCTCCTTTTTCACTGTCCCCGTCGGTGACCCACAAAACGGTCGCAAAAGTTCCACCAACCTAGCCAGACACCACATCTTAAAATGGCAGTGCGGCTGAACCACTCTTTAAGTGTCCGGACAGTGAAGACCCAGCATCTCTTTTCTCCTCAACCCCAGAACATTCCACCCTGGCCTCCGAGCCCCAGCCTCAGTTCCCTCCGGGCCCTAGGAACCCTGCTCTCCGGCGGTACGGGCTGTGAACCCCAGATCGGCTCTCCGTTTGGGTCTGGACCTCTCCTGGCGCCGACTGACCCGACTCAATCAAAGGATGGCGGTGGATGGGGTGACCTGGATCACCAGAGCCGGCAGACTTACCCCAGCCGCCATGGTGATTCCGCAGAGAAAGGGGGTGGGGCTGTCGGGGCTGCCGCAAAGTAAGCCGCCAGGGAGACAAGGGAGGGGGTAAGGGGACAGCCGTGCGGAAACAGCGGCCGGAAAGCGAGGACGGCATAAAAGGCACACGCACGACAGTTCCGTCTCTAGCCGCGCTGAGTTGGAAAAAGCAAGGGGTGGGGCTCAGCGCCTGGAGCGCAAAGAGCTGGCGCCTGCGTAATGTGGCTCTAGGCAGCCTGTCCCGCCCGTGTGGCCGGCCAATCGGAAGCTTGATAGGAGACGGAGCTCAGCGAGGGCGGGGAGAGTGTGAGAACCCGGCGGAAACACCGCCCCTCAACCGCTTGTAGCTCTAGCCTATTAGCAACTAACTACATGGGATGCAAGAGTGGCAATTTACTAAATTGCTTTGTTCCTGTTCGAGATTTTCTATTAAGGGATTGTCTGTCCAGCCGGGCTCACGGCCGAAAACATCTCAAAGTAAGTCTGCAATGATTAAACAACCTTGATGTTAACTTCTACAGCAAAAGGGACCAAACCAACTTGCATGCCTGTCACCTGCACCTCAGGCAGGGCTGTCCTCCAGAGCCAGAGGGTCGGGTAAGGTCGGCCAGTTCTGATACAATAATTTACACATACCCAAATTTCAAACTCTCGTATCCAACTTAAGGGAAACTTGAACTCACTCCAGTGTCAAAGGGCAGAAAGGACAAACCCTAAACCCGAATTAGTGGTGGTTCCCATGAACGGGGCGGCAGACATCAGTGCCTTTGCCTTGTGCTGTGGCACTCCCTATGAATGTGGTACGAGGTGGGAAGGAGACCTCTGTTTGAGGGTAGTCAGGCCAAGCAGGCTAGTGGCTACAGTAAGGCAGAGAGAAAGGTGTCACCAGGTAGAAATCACAGCTGTCCATCGCTTGTATTAAATAAACTAGCAGCTTTATTGTCTTTGAGGTCTGGCTCCTCACTGAAGGAGATTTTTAAGTGCTTGAGGGAGAAAAATCTGTAGAAAATGATGAAGACCGGGGAACAGGCCTTGGGAATCTTGAACTGGCACCACAGTGAGTGCCTGGTCAGCCTGGGAGACAGACGCCACAAAGGTGAGGAGAGGTTCCCCCTGCAGCCTCTGTTGCTCACTGCCGGGTCCTTTCAGCTCCTGGGTCACTCGAGCCTCCATTGCCAGCCACTCTGCTGCAGGGGCGGGGCCTCTGCCTTCCTCTTTGGTCTGTTGCTGTAGGCGTCTCCGGGCACGCCGCCTCCCTTGCCACACTTGGTGCCACAAAGCACATCGCCAGCTCACTGACGACAGGTGTGACGTTTCATTCCCTGTCTCACCCTGACACCCTTCTCTAGCCACTTCAGGTTCCATGGGCTTCTGCTCAGCCAGCTTGTCTAGAGACTTGGAAGTCATCAGGGGCAACTCGCCTGGTGGTCCAGAGCTCAGCAAGGCGCCGTCCTGAGGTGTCTCTTGGGACTCTACTGCCATTGCTTCCGCCCCACTTTCACTGTGGTCCCCTGCACATTCCTGCGACCCCTCATTCCCCTCCTCACAGCTCTTTTCTTGCCCATCTAGTCTCTGTCTTTTGTTTGTCCCTCCCAGGGAAGGGTCTTTGGTTCTAGCACCTTCTGACCGTGGTCTCTTGGTTCCCTGTTCTATATGGCATCCAAGTGCTTCCTTTAACACACGCACCAGAGCCATAATGATCTGAGGAAAGGGGGCCGGTGGTAAGGGGATGAGCTTGGCAGACAGCAGGGAGCTAGGGGAGCTGGGCTGCAAAAGTGGGAGTAGTCCCCAGTCCCGGCCCCGGGAGGAACGCTGCTGGTACTGGAGACTTCGACAGTAACTAGCTGCTGCTCCACAACAGTTCTGCAGACGTCTAGCAACCCGACTGGTTACATTAGCTGCAACATTGTGACTCAGGTCAAAGGGGTCCTGGAGATTCATAGGGCCAAGGCGCAGCCCCTCCCAAAGATCAGAAGGCAGCCCCCCTGCCACGAGTAGTGCCCGACCTTCCCGCAGGGACAGCAGGGAGCCAGAAAGATCCCAGCAAGAAACACAGGAGAAGAACTGGGCCAACAGAGAACCTGAAAGAGGCAGATTAGGAAGGGTCACTTAGAAGCCATAACTGGACGTCCCTGCAGCTCCTTCAGTAGGACTTTCTTCCCTGAGGACACGCTCCTCGGCCATGCCCTGCCCAGATGCTACTGCTTGCGCTGCAGAGCAGGGTAACTGGGGAATACACCTCTGACTTAGCTGCCCAAGACATGTTTTTGTCATCTTTAAAACAGCAGCCATGAGGGCTGGAGAGGTGTCAGAGGTTAAGAGCACTGACAGCTCTTCCAGAGGTCCAGAGTTCTATTCCTGGCACCACATGGTGGCTCACAGCCATCTGTAATGAGATCTGGTATCCTCTTCTGATGTGCAGGGATACAGAGGCAGAATAATAAATAGATAAATAGATAAATAAATAAACACAAGTAGCCATGGGGCTACTGTAAAGACCGTGCCTTGCACAAGAGTATGGTAACTGTTTCCTATTCCAGAACTTAATATTACTATCGGTTCTCTCCTAGGTTCCCCAGACTCACTGAGAGGCTCTACGTTGGTGCTGGACTCCAGTCGGGAGGCATCCTTGGGGAAACTACAGTCCCAGCCATCAACTTCTACCTGCTCCCCTTCACCTGTGACAGCAAGAAGAGAGGGTCAGGCTGGGAGTAGGAAGACTGGGGAAGAACGGGTAGGAAATGGGGTGGTACTTGAGGTCTCACACTTTAGGTGTGGAGGGGTGAGAAGAGGCTGGCGTCGTGGCAGTACCTGATCTCTGGCTGAGCTGGGCCACAGGAGGAAGCACGGGAGGGTCTCTGGTCTGAAGGAAGTAGACCACCAGCAACGTCAAGGCGTAGTTATTGAGAAGGGGGCCACCCCCTAAATAGTAACCAATAATTTCAGTTAGGAAGAAGTATTTATAAGCCCTGATCCCGGTGCCCACCTTTTTTTTTTTTTAACCTCCCTTATTCCCTTCCTTTGACAGACACCGGCTCAGGCCAAGTCTGTCCTCATTCTCACCTGACAGGCCATTATGCTGAGCCCAGCAGCGTATGGTATACACCAGGGGCCGGACTCGACCATCCATCTCAGAGCAGAGATTCAGGAAACGGGAGTTGTACAAGGCCAGCCTGGGACAATGGGGAAACAAAGTTGTTATGGTGTAGGAACTCTTTGAGAACCAACATCTCACTACCTCTCATTACAGACTTAGGATCAGCTAAAATAAGATCAAAAGAGTTTTTCCCAAAGTTTGGCCAAAACACTGGTCATATGAAGGGGTACACAAAAGAACATTAGATAAATCTAGGGAATGTGTCTAAATGGTGGGAACATTTGCCCCAAGCCTGGGAGGTAGTGGTGGGGGGAGTATGTATCAACGGAACCTTAGGCAACACTACATTCCATGTGCTCATCCTGTACAGCCACCATTCATAAACTGTTCAACAGCTAGGTGTGGTAAGCATATGCCTGTGATCCAGCACTCAAGAGGATGAAAGGAGAATATGAAACCCTTGCTCAGACACAGGACCAGTGAAACGGCTCAGTAGGTAAAAGAGTCTGCCACCAAGACTGACACTTCAGTTCAGTCCCTAAAACTCACGTGCCACAAGGAGAGAACTGACTCCCACGCGTTGTTCTCTGACTACAGAGATATCACAAACAAACATGTAATTTGAAATTTTTTTGAAGCTGGGCAGTGGTGATGCACACCTTTACTCCCAGCACTCAGGAGGCAGAGGCAAACTGTTCTCTGTGAGTTTGAGGCCAGTCTACAGAGCGAGTGCCAGGACAGGCTCCAAAGCTACAAAGCAACCCTATCTTGAAAAAACAAAACCAAACAAAAAGCAACACTACAGAGTCAGGCATAGGGGCACATCCCTGTAATCCCAGGACCCAGGCAGCGAAGGCAGGACAGTCAAGGGCTGGAGGCCAGTACGGATAACAGAGCAAGACCCTGACTCACGAGTACAGAGTATCCCAAAGAAAACAAACCCTGAAATGGAGGCTAGATAGGAGGGGACATAATTGGAAGAAAGGAGGACTGAACCAGAGAAGACAGACTCAATTCAGCAGGCATAACCCCTCCCAGTCAGGACTCCCTCCTCATCCATCCCAGAACTAAGAGCCAGCCTTCCTCAGACCCAACAGCAAAGTACCGGTTACTGAGGGAGATGTCCCCATGAAGACCTGAAGGCCGATGACAGAACTTGACCACAGGGCGCCGGGCAGAAGGCACAGTTTGGACTCTGTACACTCCAGGGACACAGCCCCGGAGAATAGAGCCCACCAGCCCTAGCACTGCCGCCGCCTCCTCCTTCTCGTCCTTTGAAGCGTCTGCTAATTGTAGGGCCTTGCCCAATTTCCCATCCCCCCCATCCTCCTGCAGCGGTGAAACTGGAGGCAGGGACTGCGGAGAGGTGACAGTGTCAGAGCCCAGAGCAGAATCTGGTGTCTGCGGTGCCACAGAAGATGCGGTTTCAAGGTCCAGGGCCTCGGAATCGTGGAGGGAAGTCGGAGAGGGTGAGTCCAGAGGAGAAGCTGGGGTGCAGGCCAGCTGAGGATCTGGGGAGAAAGCGAGTGCTGAGTCCACAGACGGGGCCTCTGGAGCCTGTGGGGCCTCTGGAGTCTGTGGGGCTGCCTGTAGATGGAGATGAAAGAGAGTGAATGCCCCTCCCCCTCTGTCCTCTATGTGCAGACTTCACTCTGCAGCTTTACATAACCCATTCCCAACAGTGCTTTGAAGCCAGGCAATGGTAGTGCACGTCTTTGATCACAGCACTTGAGAGGCAGAGGCAGGTAGATCTCTGAGTTCAAGGCCAGCCTGGTCTACATAGTGAGTTCCAGGACAGTCAGGGAGGGCTACAGAGAAACCTTGTCTCAAAAATCAAATATAAAAAAAGCAAGGTATTTTGCTGTGTTGCTCAGGCTGACCTTAAACTAACTTCTGTTTTTCGAGACAAGGTTTTTCTCTGTATATCTCTGGCTGTCCTGGTACTCACTCTGTAGACCAGGCTGGCCTGGAACTCAGAGATCCACCTGGCTCTGCCTCCCCAGTGCTGGGATTAAAGGTGTGAGCCACCAACACCCGACAAACTTCCTTCTTTTTATTTTGTTTCATGTGATAGGTGTTTACTGTATACATGTCTATACCACATGCATGCAATGCCTGTGAAGGTCAAACAAGGGCATCAGATTCCTGGAACTGGAATTATAGACAGTATGAGCTGCCAAGCCTGTGCTAGAACTCCAATCCTGATCCTATGGAAGAGAAGCTGGTGCTCTTAATCATTGAGGCTTCTTTCCAGCCCCACCCCTTTAACTTTTCACAATCCTCCTGTCTCAGCTTCTCAAGTGCTGGGATTTAGAGTCATGCTTTAAATTAGCCTGACAACCAGAGCTGTCCAAAAGATTCCTAAAGCATACAGACTATTGCCGTTGCCCTTGGTTGCCCTCCCACCCCTGAAGTAGATGGTATGTGCCTACTGCAGAAGACACCATGTGCTTCAGAAACAAGGCCCACTGACCCCTGAGCTGGAAATGAACTGAGCAGGAAGCCCCCTTCCTGAGGACCCTTTCATGGAACCAGAGGGCACCATGCAAGCTTCCAAAGGAGAGGCAGCTAACAGCCCTGCCCAGCTATGACACCTACGAACACTATCAACCAGCATGGCACGATAACCCTAAGGGTACAGTAGTGGCACACATACCTTGGCGGTAACTAGCAGCTTTCTAATGAGCTTAAGGACTGCTCAACAAGAGGATAACCACACTTGGGATTGGAACCCTATGAACTTCTTGGTGCTAGTTAAGTCATGGGTATTGGAGGATAGTCTACAACCACTACAATTCCTAAGAATAATCTAAATATCTGTCCTTATACCCACAGACAAGTGTAGTCTTTACCCCTCATCAAGGAAACTTCTCTTTGCAAGAGACTATTTACAGGAAACCACAGCTAATCATAAGACAGCGTTGTGGAGCCCAGCCCCACTGGATACATCTACAAAACACTCCTGCATCTGAGGCTCAGGGAACACCGTGAACAAAGGATTGGAACCATTATAAAAATAGCCAGATCAGGAGCTTGCATCAGAAGCTACACCCAAGTCTCACCAACATGACTGCCCTATGTGAGCCAAATAAAGACAACACCAATGAACACACCAAAGTGGACAGTGAAAAGCCCATACCCAAAGCTGTTCTCTGGCCTCATCTCACCCTACCCCCAAACACGAAAAATAAACTTTTTGTGTGGTTTGGTTTGGTTTGTAGAGTTTGTGTGTGTGGTTTTTTTTTTTTTTTTTCAAGACAGCCATGGCTGTCCTTGAACTCACTGAGACCTGCCTGCTTCTGCCTCCCAAGTGCTGGGTTTAAAGGCTTGCCCCACTACAATCAGCTATAAACTTTTTAAAAAAAGAGTATGGGGCTATGTCCAATGCAGGCCTAACACAGGCTACAGGTCTTTTGCTCCAGCCCAGGTCTGGTAAGCATAGCTCTCACCCCTCAACAAAGAGGCTTATCTTTGCAGCACACAAGAGACCATTACAGAAAGCCACAACTGGTCAGAATGCAGAGCACAACTAACTGAACAAGGGGTACTTAGCCTCAATGGATAAAAATACAACACAACCCCTACGCCTAAAGTTCAGGGGACAGGGAAAAAGAAAGGGAAGACAGTTAAAGCCACAAGACCAGGAGAGGCTATGAATTTGAGGAAGAAAATAGGGACAGTTGGAGGAAAGTGAAAGCAATGTAAATATAGTACACATACATGAAATTTTTAAAAATTAATTTACAACCAGGCAGTGTCAGTGCATGCCTTTAAGTCCAGTACTTGGGAGACAGAGGAAGGCAGATCTCCATTGAGTTCCAGGCCAGCCTAATTTACATAGCAACTTCCAAGCCAGCCAGAGCTAAAAGTGACAACCTGCCTCAAAAAAAAAAAAAAAAAAAAAAACCCCACACAATAAGCAAAATCTAGTAACAGAATTTTGAATTATCTTCCTATCACAACTGTTATCTATCCTAAGCCAACTCACTTTTATTCTATCTAATGCACATCAATATCCATGTTTTCACAATTACAGCGATGCTTCTAGCTAAGTACTACTATGCCTGTTTTATAATCATGAGATTAAACAACCTGAGAGTAAAGCATTTGCCCAAAGTCACATGATTGCATGCATCCCTGTTCACTCACCTGGGTTTCTTCCATATCATCCAAGTCCAGGAAGAGGTCCAGATCACAGCCATGAACATCAAAGCTGTTTATAGAAGAGCCAAAAGGATGGACCACACAGCCTAGGAACCAAAGGATACAGGTCAAAAGACAGTAGGGGGCCAGCAAGATGGCTCAGAAGGTAAAGGCACTTGCCACCAAGTCTGAACACCTGAGTTCGGTCCCCAGGATCCATGTAGTGGAAGAAAAGAACTAACTTCTGAAGGTTACTTTGACCTCCACAAGCGTGTGTGTCACTTGTGCGCACACATAATAAAGAGGGATAAAAAGCGACGGGAGGAGCAGGAGGATCAAGAACAAACATACTGGGGTACAAAGATGGAAGATCAAGTAAACGAGACACAGCCGAGAGAAGGCTGAGGGTTCAAACACAGGCAGGTAGACTGGCAAGGTGTTAGGCAGAGCTCAGATTTACAGCAGGGAACTCACCAGGGAAGAACTCTGTGAAGACCTCCTGCATCAGGGCCACAACAAGATTCCGAAGCTGCCGCTCAGCCTCAGACAACTCCCTCAGTTCCACAAGCTTTACCATCTGTGCCTCCACATCTGGGGATTCGGCCAGTGCTTGGGCCAGCTGGTGACTATTGGAGTCCACTCCTTTGGGTGTCTTGGTGGCTGGGCTCTGGAACTCCTTCTGCTCCCTCGGCCGGACACGCAGTCCATGCTCCCCCAGCCTGTGCTTGGGCTGTGATAAAACAGCCTCCCGAGCACTTATATCTCCCATTTCCACAATGGCAAACACCCCCTGGAAAGCAAGGATCATGGTTTGGCAATCAACAATTTTAACAGTAGAGGAGAACCTTTGAAATGGGAAACAACCAATATACTGGAAGTATTTACTTGCTGATTTTGTGAAAGGGAATATAATTAGATGAGTAATCTTCACTCTTACCTCATACATTTTTATTCCTGGCTGCCAGTTAAAATCTTATCTACTGTCTCCTATATTTCACAATGACTTAATTTCACAGGTCAAAAATAAGACCCATCTATCCATGGTTGGTGGTACATGCCTGTAATCCCAGACTCAGGAGGAAGATGGGCTTAGGAAAATGGCTCAGGTGATAAAGGCACTTGCCACTTGACCCAATGATCTGCATTTGAGCCCCCTGGCTCCCACATGGCAGAAGAAGAGAAGTGACTATTGAAAGTTGTTCTCTGACTTCCATATCTGTGCCATGCATGTCCCCTGCTCCCCTACCACACAGGCACACTAAATAAACAAAATGTAATTAAGGTGTTGAAACAATGGCTCAGAGGTTCAGAGCACTTATTGTTTTTTCAAAAGAACTAAATTTAGCTCCAAGCTCCTCCACAGTAAGTCACAACCATCAGTTACTCCAGTTCTAGAGGATACAATGCCTTCTTCTGACCTCCAAGGACACCAGGCACCTACAAAGCATGCAAGTAATACTCATACACATAATATCTTTTTAAAAAATTAAAATGCAGGCTGGAGAGATGGCTCAGCAGGTAAGAGCAGTGGCTGCTCTTCCAGAGGACCTGAGTTCAATTCCTGGCAACCACATGAGATCTGGTGCCCTTTGCGGGCCTGCAAGCAGAACACTATATACATAAAAAGTAAATAAATCTTTACAAGTAAATGAAATTTAAAAATTAAAATGCAATTAAAAAATTTTAAGGGGTTAGAAAGATGGTTCAGCAATTAGGAGTTTGGTTCCCAATACTCATACCAGCTGACTCCAGCTCTAGGGGATCTGATGCCCTCTCCTAGAATCAAAGGTAATTGTACATAAGTCCATACATAGACAAACACATATATACATAATTTAAAACAAAAAGTCTTAGCCAGGCACAGTAGCACACACCTTTAATCCCAGCACTTGAGAGGCTACAGTAGGCAGATTTCTTTGAGTCTGAAGCCAGCCTGGTTTACCTATCAAGTTCCAGGCCAGCCAGCCAGGGCTATAAGGGGGAGTTCCTGTCTCAAATAAAAGTAAATAAAATCTTTTTGAAAGGGGAAGAGTGGGCTGGAAGATCAGGAGTTCAAGACCAGCCTCAGCTACATAGCAAGTTTGAGGTCAGCATTCATGACATGAGATTTAGTCTCAAAAAGACAAAACAGAAAAATCCAGAGCAGGTGGTGGTGACATATGTCTTTAATCCCAGCACTTGGGAGGCAGAAGCAGGCAGATCTCTGTGAGTTCGAGGCCAGCCTGATCTATAGATCTAGTTCCAGCTGGCTCTTAACAATAATCCATGGCAGGGGGTCCAATGTGGAATTCTGGAAGGATGGCTCAGTGGTTAAGAGCACTGGCTGCTCTTGCAAAGGACCTGGGATTCAGTTCCCAACACCCACATCAGACAGTTTGATACCAACCATCTATAACTCCAGCCTCATACAATCCAATGCCCTCTGCGGGCTTTAGCGGGCACCTGTACTCATATACACATAACCATACAGACACCCTTAAAAAAATCCATGCTGGAGTAAAATGCTTGCCACCAAACCTGAGCACCTGAATTCAGTCCCCTGAACACATAGGACAGACTCCTACAAGTTGTCCTCTGACCCCCACATTTGCACCATGGGCCATGCATGTGCACACATAATAAAAATTTAAAAGAACCCATGTTGGGCTCAGAATACAGCTCACTGTAGAGAAGTTGTCTAGTATGTATGAAGCCTTGGAGTCAACCTTAGCACCAAACTATAATACATTTTTTAAAAATCCTGCTACTGCTAATGTAAACATATAAACTCTAATAAACCCTGTCTTCAAAGAACTTGCCATCTAGTATTAGCAACAATAGAACAGCTAGACAACTATGATTTGGATGAACTAACCAGAGCTGAATAGTTTTTTTTTCTAGACAGAGTTTCTCTGTGTAGCTTTGTAGACCAGGCCTGCCTCCAGTGCAGAGCTGAATGTTAATGACTGAGATATATATTGTTTTTTAAGGTAAAACAAAAGCAGGAGCAAGGCAAACATGACTGCTTATGGGTAAAAGTGCACGTCCTTTTATATCATCTGTTCCTATAAAGAGGCATTCTCCAGGCTGGAGAGATGGCTCAGAGGTTAAGAGAACTGGCTGCTCTTCCAGAGGTCCTGAGTTGAATTCCCAACAACCACATGGTGGCTCACAACCATCTGTAATGAGATCTGGTGCCCTCTTCTGGCATGCAGGGACACATGCAGACAGAAGAACACTGTGTACATATAGTCAACTATTTTTTTAACCTAAGATCAGTGGGGAAAAGAGTAGCTTATAGATAAATGATGCTAGGACAACCGGAGAGTCATAAGCAAAACAATATTGGACCCTTACATCATGTCATATACACAAAATTGCAGAGGCCTCACCAGTACACAGGTATGAATCACAGGAAGTGATTGATAAATGATATGAAGATGGTTTGGAGACAGACAGAGGCCACTCTCCTAGCATTCAGGAGTCCCAATTCAATCCCTAGAACTGAAGGGAAAAAAAGCAGCAGGGTGGGTGGGGACGGTGGGGGGGAATGAGAGGTAACAGGCAATACTGGAAGAGCCTTGACCAAGCCTTTAACTCCAGCACCAGGTAAGCAGAGGCAGGTGGATCTCTGTGAGTTCAAGGCCAGCCTGGTCTACATAACAAGCTCCCAAGCACCCAGAATTACATGGTAAAACTCAAAATTATATGATGAGATCCTGTCTCAAAAAAAATATGTTTGATAAACAGGACCCCCATAATTAACTCTTGTAAATGGATTAAATCCAATGTGGCCGAAGCTCCCAAAACTAAGCTATTCCAACTTCTGAAACGTCTATCAAGGATGAACCACATTAGGAAGCTGCTCATTTCCCTCTGTCATGTGAGGTAAACTCATCTGACACATTAATCTCAGAGACACTAACTCTACCTTGTCCTTGTCCATGACAACATTGGCCACAGGGCCAAATGTCTGGAAATACTCAGAAAGCTGGGCAGAACCCACATCTCTGGGAAAGCCACTGACAAACACACTTCGAAGTCCCTGGGCCTTTCTGGTAGCTCGTAGTTGAACAAGATCCCGATGCTTCCGGCCTTTCAAGTGTGCATCTAGGCTGGGTCCTGTAGAGGCAAATGTGAAACATAAGCATATAAAGTATCCCTTAGTATACCTGTCCCTTTGTTCTCTACATATAGAAATCCTGTTCCTTCAAAGACAAAGGGTGACACTTGGACAGAGTTGTGGCTCTATTCACATTTGATATCTTTTCCCCTTTCCTACACTGCATTCTCTAAGAGATTTCCAAAGGCTGCAGTGCAGGTATGTGTTAAATAGAGCAACACCTGCCCACTGTAGAGGAATTAACAAGCAACTAATCCAAGGCCATATGTAGAACTAAATAAATTAGGGCCCTGGCTAACCCTCAAAGACAAATAGTAGGTATTTCAAATGTATCCTTTTCCCATATATGATAGAAATGATCCTACCTACCACATAGGTATCATTCACATACAGCTCTGGACATCTGCTAAGTGTGGGAAATTAGTTATTAGTATTATTTTGTCATCAGTCAGCTATTTGGTGACATGAAAGTAGGTGGGCAAGGCAATCTCCTAAGTTCCTGGCTTGCCCTAATGGGCGTGTGTGTGTGTGTGTGTGTGTGTGTGTGTGTGTGTGTGTGTGTGTGTGATGTCATTCACAAAGAAAACACCATTTAGAGATCACTTTCTAGGCATCAAAAGAAGGAGGACCTGAGATGTCACTAGGTCTCTTTTGGTGTCACAAAACTGTCTTTCCAAACCCTTTTCCTCAATGGCACCTTCTGCATTCACTCAGGCCACCCTGTTTCACTGAGCCTCGCCTCTGGAGATACCCTTCCCATTGGGAGTCTCCAACTGAGGCCTTCTCTGTAATGCCTCAGCTCTGTAAACATACCCAGACAGTGAGTTCCCGACTCCAGAGACCAGTACAGTACCAGGTACAGATGAGATGTCCAGTAGGTGATGTTTTAAAAGGAATAATGAAACTTTCACTACGGAGCTTTTGCATAGTGGGAAGATAGGGTGAGACTTTCCCCACTCTCCAATGCCCTGGGGCGTGCTGAGTGAAAATAGAAGTGGGTGATCCTAGTGCCAGCAAAAACTATAACCTAGATAACTCTTTCACTAGCACCTAAAAGGGAAAGCCTGCAG